TTGTGTGTACCTAGTAGAGCACTTTGTCGCGTTTTAAGCTCCCAGTTTTGTCATTTTGTTCTTCTAAACGTATTTTATGAACAAAGCAGACTACATAGAACTCGACGTTCTTTCAGAAGAAATTGGTCTGCTAATCAATACGTATTTATTCCAGTTTGGTAGCGCAGAAAGTGTTGAACGCCAATAAAATTACGATGAACTGCTACGATGGACAGAACTGGTGTTTTTTCACACAATTCGTTTTCGTTCTGTTGAACCCTGAAAATTTCCACTGACAAAGAAAATAAGCTTATCACATATGCGGACAGCTACCGACAGAGAATTAAGGCAGGTGAATTGATGCAAATGAATAAGACATGAAGTAGATCAATCCTAAATATAATGGTACGATTATTAGACCGAATCTCTGTGACGAAATGTTGCTCCGAAGTGAGGAAGTAGAAGTGTAGGCGTAGAATTCCAAGGTGAGCACCATTGAACTTCTTATAAGGCTTCCTTCTAACCTCTCTTACAGAGCAATATAGTACTTCGCATACGTGACTGCTGTCGTTGTCGGCACAGTGTCGCTGTTATCAGGCAAAGCTTACCAGTATTTGAAGCTCTCATTTCCTCTTATTAGAAAAACGGTATACTATTTGTCTGCAGCCTCTCCAGTTCCTTTGTTAGGCTTTGAGACTAGCGTTTCGGTGTCTTCACATTCTTGAGAGCAACAGTGATTCAAGTCAGTCATTCCACATCAACAACCGTCCTGTATAAAAGCGCTCTGCCGAGTGAGGATACTTCACCTGAGCGGTGCCCACTCCAGAAGATTCGCCTCGATGCACAGATGATGACTCATATCGTAAGCACATCGCAAGAGCGACCACCTGTCGGTCATCGTCTCGGAGCAGTCCGGCTCTGAATAGGACGAAGGCGTCAAAACGTTAGCCGAATAAAAATTTGCTGAGTAATCCAAGAAAATATTGATTATTCCTGCAGAAGCTTGTTTCTAAACAATTTTGTTAGGTGCTCATCGCTGGAACTACGGGTATGTGCAATGTCAATTCCGCATCATCATCATAAGTTCGGATTTCGGTGAAAAAATGTTTGTTGTTTACCATACTACAAAGTAGTACATTGAGAAAATGGTGAAATTCACAACTTGAGAGTTACCGACTGGCTAGACTAGTAAAACTCCGAAGAAATGGAAATTATGCTCAGGCCCGCACACCCAGTGAAGGCGGGCCATCATCCAAGAATTCGAGTAAGTAAAGTATTTGAACTCAACCACTATGATGCTGAGATATTTGCAAAACCAAGACCCCTGGTTTAGATTTGCCTTTCTCTCAACCAGTTTTCTACTAAATGGTGCCATCGGTGATCACCCATCAATGGGAAAGAAGATATTCACTTCTAATTGACCGAATTTTTGCACGATTACGATTTTTAAGTGATGAAGTGATGAAGTGATTTAAGTGATACCTATGTGAACTGAAACAAACTGTAATTCATCATAATGAAACCACACAATCAGCAAATTACACTCACTCATAGAAAACCTGTTTACGAAGTTATACCTAGGTTAATGATAAAAACAACAACAACGAGAACCAGGCATTAGCCAAAACTATCCGTTCCAATTTGTGCGTAAAGAGTCGACTACACAGAGGAGGAAACGAAAGCTGCGTTCAATTGGTTTGACTCCAATGGCAAATGCCATCTTTACTAGAAACAAAGAAAGGAGGACAACTCCTAGTCTGTCATTAAGTGCTCTACTCCTTCTACCCGACATATATCTCCAAAGGCCAACAGTGTATAAAGCCTTATTTGATGCCTCTACAATGAATTACCGGAGGCCAAAAATATGATACAACTTTATTGGAATTGAGAAACAGTCGAAGCCCTTGCAGATCGCATGGCCAATGCCAGCTCGTTTCATCCGCGAGAACGAGCCATGAAATCCCAAAAATCCGACGGTAAAAAAAGAATTGAAAGACAGCTGCATAGGTGGAGTGTGGAGAGGTCGCTCGGGATCCAGGCAATTACAGAGGGAAGTGTATGATAAATACATGAATGCTTGAACGGTCCCCTTTACGAATCACGAAGATCACCATTGTGTGTGGGATTACAACTTCCAACTGACTGCTAATTCACTAAATGGAGAGAATTTCTTTTCTGTGGAGTTTCGATAGCCGTGCTTGGGCTTTCCTACATCAGGAATGAGCGTTTAGCGAAGAGGCGTCCAATTTAAGCGATCAAACTACTATAAGCAAAAGGGCATAAAGTCACCCTGGTCCATCGGAACATCAAGCCGTCGCAGAAAGGAAATTTTGTTCTTAAAAATATATCTACCCCGTGGAGATTACTTATATAAAGGTTTTAAGAAATGTGGTCACTTTTTATTTACTGCCTACTCTTTTTTAATGGCAGGGTATTAAGCGAAACCACAATGATGCTGAGATATTTACAAAACTCCAGATCGCTGGTGTATGCGGTGGGGATCGAACCACTATTACCCTCTCCGGGGGCTAACGCGTCCACCACCACACCAAGGAAGTCCTTCATTATAGTTATTTTCCAAAAGTAGATATACTGTGATTTCGGCTACAGCCTTAGCTTAACTGGGTTCAATGCCAATTTGCGCTCCTCGGATTATTCCCGTTGATGGGTGATTACGAATGGCAATGCAAAGTAGAAAGCTGGTTAAGAGAAAGGCAAAGCAAGGGCCTCAGTAGTGAAGGGGGTAACCTGAGTGCCCGCAAAGGATAATCGGTGTTCGATCTGGCCTGGGGTGCAGGTTTTGCGAATATATCTGCGTCATGGTGGTTGTATTTCACATCATACCCTGCCGTGAAAAATAATAGTAGGCAGTAGATAAAAAGTTAGGTTATTTGAACTCACTTTCCCGTCTGACTTCAGAACTAATGCGGGTAACTCCGAGGGTAGAGAACGAAAAAAAGAACAGAAGCGAAGCGTGCTTCATTAAAGGATGCAGGATGCGATTTATGGCGCGGGTCCTGTCATCCATAGGGGCTTGGTTTTGTGCGAATTCCTGAATTTCCGCCTCGTACACAACAGGAAAGGTTCTGGCCATTGCTATGGTCGTGGTTTCGTCCCTTCTTGTTTCTACGAAAATCCTCAAGCAGAGTCTCCTCGAGGAATTAGTGCTAGCAAACGTCGAACTATTTTGAAGCTTCTGTTTCCTTAGAGAAGTCGCTTGTTTGTGTTTAAGCTTGTTTTATTGTTTTCCACTTTGTTAAGCAAGTTAACTTGTCCAAAGGTAGGTCATGCCGTTTTCATTTAAGTGAAAAATATGGTGACCCACATGTTATTCGTTTTTTTTGTTTATTAGTACTTTTTCGGGCACTTTGCTTTGTTTCAGTGACAGTTAAGCCACGGCTTGACCACTTCGAAGTCATCTGTAACCCTGAAATCCCTAATGATCTGTTCTCTTCGTCGTATGATTGGGCCGGCTTGCTTTTCACGCCGTCGGTCTTAAATTACTTCTACGGTGAAAGACTTACATTGTAATATGAAATCTATTTGGGAACGGCGCTACCCAAATTTTCTATCAGAAATCGATGCGAGACGACAGGAACAATCCTGGGGTTTGTAGAACCCATTCCTTAGTTTTTTAAGGTTGTTCGTAACATTGGGTCACGTCCTCGTGGTGTTTCGCTGCCCACCGACCGTCTAGAAAATCGTTTATTTGTTCGCAAATATCCTCAAAATCACTAACATGTTTCCACCTGACATTGCCTACCCAGACTTAGGGCTGGACGCCATGAGAAACAATGAGTTCGACAGCAAGTTCGGGCTACTATATCCCTTCGAGTTGTTCTTCGAGTGGTAAATATTGTAAAATAGCGCTTGCTCCTATTATTTAAGGTCGGTGGTCCGATCTCGTATCGGTGGAAGACAACTGTTGTTTTTGCGTTAGTTTATGAGGTAGTTTATTTCACTACATATTTTATCGTTATGCGTATATCCTTGTGTTATGTTAATTGTATTACTATGTCTCACTGTGCATGACTCGCGCTGATTATTTTTTTCCTGCTTTTTTGTTGTGTAATTTACTGACCATTGAAAGGTAAGTTTGGTAAGTCCGATTCTTTGCTTCCAAGGCAGATTTTACTTTTCGATGGGAATTTGAGGTTTCCTCCCAACGGTGTACTGCCTCATCGTGGCTGGGAAGTGTTCCTGGGTGTCGGACTGCGATTTACAGTGAGGGGATTCATCACCCCGGCAGGGTCACCCAAACTGAGGAGTTCGGCGTTTCCACTAGGAACCCCAGCTAAGAGTAAACCAATGCCAGGATCCACTGTTCTGGTATCAAACTAGTTGCATGGTGGCAAATCTCCCTCTGATCCACAAAAGCGGCGACTTCCTATGCTGGTGACGATCTGGGGCAGATTTTGGGCTGGCCGACCTCGGGACTCCAGAGAACCACGACGACTAGACCAGCAATACTCCGAAAAAGAAACGGAAACTATGCCGGAGCCCGCACAACTAGTAAAGGCGGGCTATCCAAGTATCCAAGTAATTAATTCGAGGATTAACCCCAAATGTTACTGTGACGAAGCGGGGCACGAATTTTTTCAGTACAACGTCCATTCCATGTGATTAGTGTCTTATCGCATTTTATCATGTTCAGAACCAGATATAACTCAAATCTATATGTCTCTGGTCCCAAAGTTTATCTCCAGAACTTCTTTGTTATCAGAACATTTCGTTTTTGATAAGCCATTTTTTTATAGTTTACACTGGGCATGTGGTGTTGACAGGAATGTAAGTTGTGTTATCCGAGCGCAGTTATCATTTTTCTCAATGTTGCATTTTGTGCAATTTCGTTTTATATTTGTAAAAAAGCTGTATACTCATTGTCATTGACCACTCGAATCGAGGATGAATATAACCCTCAGAGTACTTGGCGCTTGTCTTGGTTCTTGTGTATACTCATTACTCGTACTCAAGGAGAAGTATTATAGTGGGAGAGCCATGTTCATGGATGGTCGACAGCGATGAATTTCGGCTTCAATTTCGACAGCGACTACCATCATTCCACGTCGAAAAATTTCGTCATTCAAGCACGAGACGCCGATTCACCACACGATCCAGACGATTTCACACGGGACGAACTACTGAAGCTCTTATCGTATCTCGAAGGCGAGCTACAAGCACGTGACGAGGTTCTGACACGTTTACGAGTGAGTCAAAAATCGTGGCGAAGAAGCATTAATTTGGGCTGTAGTTCTTTTCTAATCATTTCCACAAACTTTGTTTCATAGCTGCCGACAATCTTGCAAATGTCTGTGTAATGAATTTGGTCACCGTTTTGCTGTCGTTCTCTGTTTAGCTTCGAGAAAGCTAATTATTTGGGACTAGAAAGAGGGCCTTTTTGACCGTACAAGAAAGTATACTCCATTGTTTATTCCAGTGCTTGACCAACTGTCTTCGCTTGCATGTATTTTTGTGAAATCATTTCCTTCGTTTTAGAATGAACGTACAAAATTTCTCTTATACGACGCTAAGTATGGTAAACTCTGCGGGAATGATCCCATGTGTGCATTACGTCGTGATTCCACTATCACTGAAGAAGAGCTGGATGAGTATGAAATTGGGCAACTCTATGGATCGCAGCTGGTTCAGTTGGAGAAGCTGATAGCCGTGCAACGGCGAAGTCACCTTCGGGCGAAAAGTGTACGTGGTTTTTTCATCTGGAGAAATATCCCTTTTTTACTACCAATTCCAGACGAATCGGTCCTATTAAAAGTCCGCCAAGTAGAATTATATACATGTCTATTTTTTGTGTATGTACATCGTACACGTGTGTATGTGGAAATGTGTTCATATATATATATGCATATATACAGTTACATACATGTATGTATGTATATCCTGTGGGCGGCCTTATGTGACCCGAAATCTAAAAGAATTGCTTTTCATTTCAAGTAAGCTCTGGTGCATTTAATAGTTCACCTGGGTGTCGTAATTTAGTTGCTTGCCGCTGCAGAGAAACGACACCTAAAAGCATTGAAGGAGCTAGAGCTCGAGAAGGAGCGCAAAAGCCGATATGCAGCCCAAGGAGATGACGTGCTCGCTTTGCTTGAGAAAGAACGTGAGAAACTCACCCAGCAGGTGATTTGTGTGTTTTCATGGAAACAGTCATACTAAAGTACTGTCTAATCTTGAGTTTACCGTGTCTTCTTCGACCTGTTAACCATCTTACAGCTGGAAATCCAAATTAACGACGTAGCAGAAAGTAAAGCTGAAACGGAAAGAGTAGAACGAAAACTGGAGATGGAAAGGGAACGACACAAGGCCATGGTGCTATTCCTTATCAATGAGCGGAAGCAGATGCTGGTGAAGATGCATGAGCTACGGGTTAAATCTGAGTCGTATAGTAAGGACTTTAAAATTGTGCCCGTTTCTATTCATTGTTAAATTTTTTTTTCTTTTCGCTTTCCAATTTCTGAGATGGTGTAGAAATCAAAGAGCCAAGTTTTTATTGGTCAGTGTTCAGTTTTTGTTTTTGTTTTTTCTTGCTAGTTTTCACTTGTTAGTAGAATTTCAAAGGGTTTTGGTTTTTGGAATTTCTAACACTAGGTGATTGACTCTGTGCCTTAACGTCGTAGCCCAATACTTCTAGATTCGGGTAGTTTTAATTTGGTTTTACAGTTGCAATGACGTCTGGCGAACAGGCATTATTGGAAGAGCTTAAGAAAGAAATAGCTTTCCTGCGTGAAGAACGTGATTCCCTCAAAAATATGAACAAATCTCTCAAGGTTATCAATTTTAATGGTGTTAAGCATAGTACTCATAATTTGCCTTGTTTATTTAAGTTTGTAATCTCTCCATTTAGGCTGAAAATCTCAGCCTGAAGGAAGTTGTGAAAGGTCAGGAGGCTGATTTGTTGATGTTACGAAAAAACTTGATGTCATCAACCAAGCTGGGGTTTGATAATCAAGGAACGGTCCGTATTGTGTTTATTCCAGCCTTTCTTCATCCAATGATTTCGTTAACTTTGCCTTATCGTTTAAAATTTTTCTATGAACTAGTAACTGACTTTATCCTTCATTTTCGTCATCTATGCATAGAATTTTTTCCTCAAGCACTCAACTTATTTTTGAAAGTCTCTTCCAAACAGATTCCACGTTTGGGTGAAGAACGTTCACTGGTTGTTGCAAATAGAATGGCCACTTCAACAGTATCACCGGTGAGTTCGTCGAGTGCTCCCATGATGTCTTCGGGCACGTTGTCTCCTCGGACGAGATTAGCTACGTCAAGCAGTTTTCCCACTGAGAAGAGTCGCCTTCCTCGTGCTCCATCGTCACCTGCTAGAGGTCTTTCTTCTCCTAGGTACGACTGATTTTGTTCGTTGCGTAGTCAAAATTTGTGCACAAAGTAGTTGGGAAATAACTCAAACCACGATTGAAATTCAGGTTACCATGTTCACCTATAAAGAAAACACCTGCAATGGGAGTGGGCACAGCACGTAGAGCTCCTCCACCACGATACGCTGAGCCCGAGTTACAAGAATTAGAAGCAGCAATCGAATCGATGGCAAGTAATGGTAGAATTTAGAATCATTTTCTATCTAAATTTTGTAATACTGTCGATATCTATGGATCTATGTCCGTAGTTATAAGCACATATCATTTTGTGTTCGTTTAGTACTCGTCACACTTTGAGTGAAATCGGTCATTTGTGATATTATGGGCCTAGGCAATTTCTTGTCTAGTTGGCATCCCACTTCAGTATACATCTGCATTTTTGGTAGTTAATAAAGCGCAATCCATCCAACGGTTTACCGCCAAGCTGCAGGAAGCTCTGCTGAGTGTAAACCAATACCGGCATCCATCAACGTTCTGGTATCAAACTAATAAATTTCCCTCTGATCCACAATCGCGGCGACTACCTGCGGTGGTGACGACCTGGGCCAGACATTGGCTAGGTTGACCTCAGGACTCCAGGGAATCACGATGGCTAAACCCTCAAAAGTTCGAGAAAATGGAAATTTTGCTGAGGTCCGCACGACTAGTGAGCACGGGCCATCCAAGTATCCAAGTGATAAATCACAGTTTCGTTCTCGATGCCCGATAATCGAGACCATGTCGGAGAACCACTTTCATGGCTGAGTTGAGGTTTAAAACAACAGTGTTAAGGCTATAGTAGTGGTAGGCTATGGCATGGTAGACCATTTTGGCCTTTTACATTTCTGTTCCGAATGTGATGTCTCTGATACAACATTGTTTGTAACTATAATATATGCTTAGAAGTTGTAGGATTTCATTAACGCGTTAACGTTCCTACCTGAACAGCAGAATGTAACGGTTTGTGTTCTTAGTAGGTATATAGTAGTAGTACGTCAGCTAATGTTGTTGTGCTTGAGGAGCATGATTGTGATGTTTCTAGTCGGTCCAGCGTCATCAACCAAGCGTAGTAATAGCTTAACACGTGGAGGCAGTTGCGAAGCTAGGAAAACCGATCCACCCCTAGTTTATCGAACGGAGCCATCTTCTCGGGTGCCACCGCAGCCACAAATGGGTGCCGTTGGTCGTTTAGGTAAGATCTATGCTCTTGTCATAGTTTATATAAGGTCCTAAATTCGCTTCATATATTTCCAAATTTGCTTCCGCTGAATATCTCCTATTGAACCTGTTAAGCTGTAGTATACTGAATAGTAGGATTTGGTCCTTAATATCGAGCTCGACTGATCAGCGAAATTATCTCCGGAATCGCCTCCAGCACAAGTTTTAATGTCGTTCTGTTAGATTGCAAAGAATCCATCTCCCTTTAGTTTATGAAGGCCGAGAAATAGTAGTAGTGAACACCTGCGTATACATAAAACATGCTTGACTAGCATCTATCATATAGGTGAGTATAAGTGACTACAGATTGCCAAGCAGCTGCAGAATCCAGAACCCACTCCACTTTGAACTTGATCAGCTCTTTGGGTAGTGGTTACATGACAGGAAAACTGATATAAGTGCTGGGCACCTAACGTTAGTTTGGAGAGGCATTCTAAGGTATATTACCTAGAATATTTCTGTGCTTAAAAGCAAACGACTTTTCTGCAAGGTAATACAATTGAATCAACTTTGAAAGACGTTGAGTTTGCAGATCAAGTTGTCGCTGTCCAAACGAAGACAACATTCGCAAATTTTTGTGTAATGGTATGAAATTCATAAGCATCTCGACTTATACTCGCTTTGTAATTCAAATTGCGATCATGGGCATAAGTGGCAGGCTTCACAACCTGGTAAAATTATGCAGAATTTCCTTCGAAATCGCCAACAACGCGGCTACACGTATAATAGGACGCTACCGAATGAAGCCAATTCATCCGTGTGGTGCTCCATTCCACGGGATTGGATTCGATGCTGCTGTCTTCCCAGACAAGTCTGGTACCAATTTGTCGAGCCCGGAGCGATGAAAGGCTAGATGGGCCATGGACGCGGCGATCGATTCCACGTGTGTTGCAGAGCGCCTCCGACCATTGCGCCACACGCGCCCTCTCTTAATGGCCTTGTAATATATTTGTATGATCTTATAAACTGATCTCCTTTAGCTGATGCGAGATTGGTATAGGTCTTCGTTGTCGTTGTTGCTGTTGCTGCTTTTTTCCCACGTCCCAAGCACCCCGAGAGTCCTGCTCGTAACATCACGGCTCTGAGGAAGGCGAAATCGCCGAAACGTCAGCGATCGACCAACAAGAACAACAGCAGCAACAATAACAACGACAACGATAACGAAGACCTATACTAACCTCGCATCAGCTGAAGAAGGTCAGTTTATAAGATCATATAAATAAATATATCAACTATCTATGCCGAGGTTTATAGAAAGTCTGTCTTTTGAGTTATTAAGGGCCTTGTAATACATAGTATGCCTAAGACAGAAATCGAACCTGTCTCACCACGGCCACAACACGTGGAATATAAGCTTTTTTTTGGCTTTTAGTCCACGTTGTGGAGGGTACAATGCAGTGAGAAAACATCTTTAATTTTCTTACTGGGTAGATTGTAATAAATGGTATACGTCCTAGCGCGTTTGAGCATTGTGAGGTATTTGCACAGCAGAGGTCTTTTTATGCCACGATCGCTATTGTGTTCCTTACCAACGTAGATGCCATTTCTACGAAATGGCCTTCCGCTACTCATAGACCAACGCGAGTGAGGGCCATTAGTTTTCATTGTTCATGTCGTGTACCAGGTTTCTCAGTACATTTTCCTGGTTCGACGACACATAGTGCGTATTATTCGTTGTTAAAGATCTTCTTAAAGAAGTATAGCAGTTAGTTAGTGGTCTATCCTGTGCCTCATATCTCCGAATGCAAATAGCTCTTTCCCAGTAGTTTTGTTGGGACACAAATTTATCCGGTCCATCCACTTTTCTGTTCCTATATTTTGGCGTTCTACAACGATATTAACATCGACGTCAAAAGAGGGGTCAGGCAAGGCGATGCCATCTCGCCAGAATTATTCACCGCCACCCTCGAGAACGTCATGCGAACATTGGAATGGGGCAACATGGGAGTGAAAATCGATGATCGGCAATCACACCGCCTTCGCATTTGTGACGATATCGTTCTTATAACACCAAAGGTTAGCCAGGCGTAACGAATGCTTGCAGACTTTGATAAAGCCTGTGGAAAGAATGGTGTTCGACTAAATGTCTTAAAAATGTTCATGGGGAACGGAATGGGTTCGTATGCTCCATCCACGCTCAGCGGGACGAATATCTCCGAGTGCTCCAGTTATGTTTATCTAGGTCGGGAAATCAACATGATGAACGACTTAGCTCCAGAGTTGAGCAGAAGGAAACGAGCGGCTTGAAGAGCTTTCAAGAGAATCGAGGATGTAGTGAAGAGAACAAAGAACACCTGACTTCGTGCCCACCTTTTCGACTATACGGTACTTCCTGCCCTAACGTATGTGTCAGACACCTGGTCGCGTAAGCAGGAAGAAAAATCACTCAGCGTTATTCAACGCGCAGTCGAAAGGACGATGCTAGGAGTATCCCGTGTCACGCAAGTAAGGGAAGAGATCCGAAGCTCCGGCCCGCGTCAACCATCAAAAATCAAAAATGCCGTTCTGTACGCCAAACAGTCGAGGATAAGGTGGGTCGGATACGTAATGCGTATGAATGACAACCGATGGACAAGAGCCGTTAGTGACTGGATTCCTTGGGATGTCAAACATACTGCAGGAAGACCACTGACCCGATAGTCAGAGTTCTTTACAAAGAGCCTTGAAGAAAGATATGATACTCAACGAGCTCCTAGAGCGAGCAGAACCCACTGGGCTACTGCACGCGACAAGGAAAAATGGAAGGTTTACTGGCACCCACTCGAGTCACTCGACGATCAACGGGACTACAAGTGATACGGGTGAGGTGATGTTTTGGCGTCTCCATTTCAAATACGAGTTGCTCACCTATTTCTATCCACTCGAGATATCAACGACTATTTAATAAGGCCGAGTATACATAAAGAAATTTTGGGCAATAGTAATTGAAGTAGTAAGGGGAGTGAAAAGCATTGAAATTGGAAGGATTGAAATGAGCAGGCTTCTTTTAGCATGACACGGCAACACATAGTGTAGGTACGCCAGTATCTCCTTCATTTGATTTGTTTCATCGCATCAAACATGCACAAAGATCTCTGGATTTGGGTGTAGGTTTGGCTTCACCTTGACGACTTGTTTTTCTTTATGAATGCCGTTGACTGTTGGTTGAGTATATTCCTCTTGGGATCCTCCCAATTTTTGTGGATCACAGGAAGTTACCTAAGAGAATTCTGGTATCTACCACAATGATACCCAGCTGCTTGTAAAACTCAAATGAACCGATGGCACCATTGCGGTAAAAGAAATCTGGCTGAGAGAATGGCAAAGCAGGATCTCAGTGGTGCAGTGGATAACACATGGGCCCCCGGAAAGGGTATTCTTGGATTCGAATTTGGCAGGGGTCCAGGTCTTGCAAATATCTCAGCACTTTTGTGGTTGTATTTCGCATGGTATCTTGCCATGCAAAAATGATAGGCAGTAGATGAAGATCGTAAATTGTGGTATCAATTTGTCGTCTCTGGAGGTAGGTATAGGAGGCTTGGTTGGTCCGGCGAGGGGACGAAGCGTTGCATGTATTGAACAAAAACTCAACCAACGCGCTCTTGTTCCTCGTAAAAGCTCGTAATGGCTATGTCTAGTTGTTCTAACAGATTTGCGCTTTAAATTCATACAGATTTTTAAGAACATAATTGCTTGAAGTACAGAGTAGAAGAATTCTTCGCAGCATCAAAGGCGTTATAAATGATTTTCAAATTAACACGATTACGATTAACTTCTCAGTATCGCCTTTCCAAAACTCTAGATAAACTTGTGATAGGAATCGGTGTCGTTGTGCAATAATCCGAGTTGTAAGGTCGAAAAAGGTTGAAAATCTTCCTATCTTCAAAGGTGATCGATTAAATGTTGTGTACGTGGTGTTCATCTAGTAAAGCCTGGCACCTATATCAAGTATCAAGTCTAAGACGAAAGCGTATTAACCATACAGTTTTTTTTTGCATATCAGACGACCTGCATTCTGTGCAGTCGTACGCAGCCGCTCCGAGTGATTAATTTGAGCTCTGTAAGCTGTCCTGTTTCTGTTGGTTTATTTTGGGGGAAAGAACACTTTTCCTGCACTTCTTGTAATCGATCGTTAGTTTATTTAATATAGATTTTGTAGTGGACGTTTGGCAAAAACTCTATTACGGTTAGAAATATACAAAACTTTTTTCTTGTACGAGTTCATAGTCAGCAGTTTCAATGGCAACTGATTGTTATTCAAATTCTAATCGGTGTTGAATCATAGTTATTCGATGGAATGTGCGAGTTTAAAAAAATATCGGAATAGATGCAGCATAACTTGTAGAGCAATTCCAAATGCTGGCAGCAATGTGCTTTTTTGGATTTATGGACCGTGGTAACATATTAACATATTAATAGCATGCGTACCATCTATACATCGGTGGAGCAAAGTCTCTTCTACAGTCTTTCTTGTTTACATCTTTCAAGGGGTCGGATTATCGAAAAACTACCGTCTATGTTTACTTTCTATTTGCTGCCTACCACAATTTTTCACGGCAGGGTATTATGCGAAATACAATAACAACGATGCTGAGATATTTGCAAAACTCCGGATCGTAGGTCTCTGCGGTGGGGAGCGAACGCGTTATTACCCTTTCCGCAGGCCAACACGTTCACCACCATGCCATGCGGGTCCTTCGTTTACTGCCGTCTATTTTCCTCTTCGCAAGAGGTAAGGTAGTCAAATCCTGTGGGTCACGGTTGTGTTGAGGGTTCACACTGTTGGAGTACGCTGTGCCGGAGCATGTTCTGAAAACTGAAAGATAACGTGAACGAACGTCGAATCGAGATGGCCAGTCGACCAACATCTTTTAAAGCACCATCTGCATAAAGAGATTTCGAGGACTTATTTGAAAGACGCTTTCACCACACCACACCACTCATCGAGCCCAAGCCCTCGTTTTTCAAGAATTGGCTCGGATCCAACCGAAAGAATGGTATGCTACTCTTGGTAACGGTGTGCAGTACACGGTGAAATTCGGGATTTCCAATTTTTCAAACGTACCTTTGTCAGTTAAGAAAGCTCCCGTTAAAATTTACATGTCTTCTCGCAAGATGCCACTGGTATTTATTCCGTTGTTTTTTCTCTGAGGACTTGGAAACGGCGAATTCGTTGAAGCGGCAGTGAACTATTTCTGAATATTTTCCTGTGGAAGTGTTTCTCTTGCGTCGATTTGGCATCCCTTATGTCTAGGAGCACGTATTCATGCATCCGTATATAGGTTTGTTCCTCTTTATGCGGATTGTGTTCCACGAGTGAATTCGGCTGTCCAGAACCAAGTAACGGGGAAAAATATGGGACGCGGTTAGGAATCGCCTCCAACAAATAAGCTCCATATTTGACCTGGGAGAGAATAGC